TTTATACTTGCCCTTTATTTCTTCACGTGTTTTTCACTCTTAAAGGGATATTGCACCATTTTCTGTATGTTTTAACCTGAGATATGGCAAGAGATTCAGTATTTTCGTGATATTTTGTTTCATCAAATCATCTGAGTTTATTTTTCTCTATCGTACTATGTCCAGTTTGATACCATTCCATTCTGAGTAAGTAGACTAATTATGTGAAACACGTAGAGATGGAAAGCCATTCTACCATCGACCTTGATAACGTGAAATGTATACATTGATGCCGTATCAACTAAAAGAACTGATATATTGTTAGTGTGCCAATAGTATTATGTTTTTCTTTTGGAACAGTGATGTACAAGGGTTGGAGAAAGTTATGGAAACACCAGGTAAAAGAATGAAATCGTTACCTAATATGGTGTCGGACTTCCCTTAGCATCTAAGACATCCTGAATTCTTCTGGGAATTACCAAATATAAGTCTTGGATGGCAGTTAATGGAATCTGATACCACTGTTCATGCAAAAATCGTTCCAGTTCTCACAGAGAAAACGAGCCTGAACCTTGTTCTCCAAAATTGATTCTATGATATTGAGGTCCAGCGACTTCATCTTCATGATCGTCAAACCATGATTTGACAGCACCAGCTATGTGAATCAGGGCATTACCATCTTGGTAAATGGCTCTGTCTTTGGGAAAAAATGTCTGCACCATGGGGTGAACAAGGTCAGCCAAAATTTGTAAATAGTCGCTGGCAGTGACTCAACCTTTCAAGGTGATGATTGGGCCTCCAGAATACCAAGATATGGCTGTCCAAACCATGATTGCACCATCACCATGCTTTACCATTGGCACAAGAAAGTCCTGGCCGTAAGCTTGGGATGTTGGGTGTTTGCCACGCGTAAACACGTCCGGTTGTTGGGAACAGTGTGAAGCTTGATTCATCGGACTATAGTACAGTCTTCCATTGATCGATAGTCAACGATTTATGGGTGTTGCACCACTTTCTCCTCTTCTGAGAATTACTATCAGTCACTACTAGTTTGACAATTGCAGCTCGCCCAACCAGCAATAGTACATATACAGTAGGTCCTCGGTTGGGAAGGGGATATGCAGCTATGAATATGGAACTGCAGCAAAGTATTGTTTTTTTTAGCTGGTAATTCCCTATCTACTAAAAGTGGTCTCAGGGGCAGATTTGCCGCTAGATCACTTTTAGAAGCAGCACTAAGGGAGCCCCCCCTGCCGCTTTCCTGTGATTCTCTAGCTTACCTGGGTGATCGGTGAGCCTGAGAACCCATCTGTCCATCACAGTGTCTGGGCATAGAGATGAGTGAAGGAAACATGGCCTTCACTCATCTTTATGCCCTTGGAGGACCAGAGCGATGTCATTATGTCACTTCCTGTTCTGACCGAAAGTAAACAATGCCATTTTTTTTTTCTTAAAGCACTAGATCAATGCTTTTTTAATCTAATGCTTTATATTGTAGAGGATAGATGTGGGGTCTTATCGATCCCAGATCACTCCATAAAGAGGACCAGTCACTGCTTATTTCTATCACAAGGAATGTTTACACTCATGATAGGAATAAAAGTAATCAAATTTTTTTTTGTAAAGGGACAGTGTAAAAATAATAAAAAAAGTAATAAAATAAATAAATAAATAAACAAACATTTAAGCGCTCTATAACCACGTGCTCATGCGCACTGGTGAAAGCATACATAGGCCATGCCCACATATGTAAATGGTATTCAAACCACCCATATGAGGTATCGCCACGAACGTCAGAGTGAGAACAATAATTCTAGCACCAGATCTTCTCTGTAACTTTAAAATGGTAACCTGTAGAAATTTTTTAAAGCATCACCCATGGAGATTTTTAGGTACTGTCGTTTGGCGCCATTCCATGAGCGTGTGCAATTTTAAAGCATGATATGTTGGATATCTATTTACTCGGCATAACATGATCTTTCATATTTTACAAATAATTGAGTTATATATTGTGTTTTTTTTTTCTTTAACCACTTTCTGTCCGGACACTTTTACCCCCTTCCTGTCCAGGGCAATTTTCAGCTTTCAGCGCTATCGCACTTTGAATGACAATTGCGCGGTCATGCAATACTGTACCCATATGAATTTTTTACCATTTTTTGAGACAGATAAAGCTTTATTTTGGTGGTATTTATTCACCGCTGGGATTTTAATTTTTTTTTACTATGTAAATGAAAAAGTCCAAAAATTTTGAAAAAAGGTGTTTTTTTTAAATAAAATTTTGCAAATAAATAATATTTCATCATAAATCTTGGCCAAAATTTATTCCATTATTTTTTTAGTAAAAAAAAAAAATCCAAATTAGTTTATAACCAAAAATTATAATTTTTAAACATTTTTTTTTTACATTTTTATTTTTTTTTTATATTATATTATTATTTTTTATTTTTTGTTTACATACTGTCACCCTAGCAGTACAGTGTCACCATGGTGACACTGTACTACTTGTGGGGGGTGATGAAGATTTTTTTTTTTTTTTTACACTGATTACTTTTACACCCATATAGGATGTAAAAGCAATCATTTCTCTTTCTCTCTGTCTGCATTCTTGCAGTCATTGAGAAGTACTGAGTGAGCTGTGATTGGTCACAGCTTGTCACATGGTACAAGGCTGTTTTGAATAGCCTTGTACCATGTGACCTCTGTGATCATTCACAGATTTCACACGTAGTAAGCAATGATGTCACTAGTGACATCTTGCTTACTACTTTGCATGTGATCACTGATTCGCCAATCAGTGATCACATGATCGGGACCTCGTACAGAGGTCCCGTCCGTTGATCGGTGTTTCACTGTGTCCGGAGGACACAGCGGGCACCGGATCGCGGTGCTGCGCGCTCCAGAGAGAGCGCACAGCTAGAAAAGGCGGGTGCCGTTTATGAACGGCAACCTGCCCCTAGACTGCCACCGCCCTGCCGTTTATAAACAGCAGGCGGACGGCAAGAGGTTAAATTCATTAATTATTTTTTTCCCCAGAAAAATTGCGTTTGAAAAATCGCTGCACAAATACCACGTGGCATAAAAATTTAAGCAACCGTTATTTTATTCTCTAGGGCCTCTGCTACAAAAAATATATAATGGTTAGGGGTTATAAGTAATTTTCTAGCAAAAAAAAATAGATTTTTACATATAAGTGTCAGAATTGGCCCGATAATGAGGTGGTTAATGTTTTTCTTTGAAGTTCTCTCTGCACAGGTTTTGTGGACATGGGCTTTGGAAGTGTGAGACTGAGCTCTGCAGCCACTTTTGCAGCAGCTGTTTTTCACTTATTCCAGGTAACAATACTGAGCAATGTCCTTTTGTCTCTTTCAGTGAGTTGACAATGTCCACCACGCTTATGCGGAATACAAGCTTCATGAGAAACCCGACAGGAGTACAAACTCTTACACTATAGATTCAAAATTAAAAAAGAAAAAAAAATTGGTTTTATGTTCAATGTAATAAGGTTTTACGTGAACTGATCCCTTCAGACGAAGTCCGGAAGTGACGAAACGCGTTAGAGGAGTGACGTGAAGACGCACGTACGCAAACCGGAAGTGTCGCCGCGGCCATTTTGTTGGTTATCCACACATGGTTTTCTGCACTGTTTGTTGGAACTTGTATAGGAGCCATGTTTGGAGCTGGAATCTCTATGTTTTAAATGTAAGTGGTTATTAAATTTTCCCTATGCTTTGAATATCAGTCTTGAGACCCTTCTTATCTTTCTGAGGACCTTGGAAAAATATCTTTGAAGAGAGAATGGAAGATTTCTGATCCATAATATTGATAAGCTGATTAATACACACAGAGGGTAATAGTATTTAGTACTACTGGGTGCTGGTTTATGGTGTATGCACAGTGTTGCAGTGATCACAGAGTGTTCTCAATTTAATTTGTGTTACATATGTGCACTATAAGAAATTATTTTTATTTCTATTATAAAATTTTTTTTTTTTTTGGCACATTTTTGAAGTGGTTTGAGTTTTGCACTGAGTGATTATTCCTTTGTATAAAGGTAATGCACTAGAGTATTTATTTCTTTATTTTGAGGTTCTTACTGGATGAAATAGGAGTCAATCCTTCTTATTGGATGAAAAAGTTTGGACATTTGGGACTTTTTGGAAACTGTTTTGGACTTTTGGACACTTTTGGGATTTTTGAGATCTATATTGGACACTTCATGGTTTAATTTTATTTTAATATATCACAAAAAGGTTATATTATATTATATTATATTATTATTGCACTTTCTAGGGAGAAAGTATGACTTTTTGAGGGGTTTGTAGTGGAGGAGGTTATATATTTATTTGATAGGAACCTTGATGGCCAAAGAAAAAAAACGGTAAAGATAAGAGTAGGTATAGCAAATGCAGACTTACTAAATTGTTCTGGATATACAGTATCTAAGGAGTTAAAGTGTTTGAAAAGTCTACTCACCCTTTAAACAAAGCAAAAAACATACCAGCATTTTCATTTAGCTCACTAGACATCATGTCGGTGAAAATCGCTTAGTCGGTTTTGGTTCAGACTTGGCCGGTGTCCTCCGAATGAATCAATAAGGAAAATGTAGCATAATAAAGTTAATTGTAGTTATTCGAACGTGTGAGTATTGGGCAGTAAAGAAGATGTGATTTTTTAACAGTGCAATGAACATAATTGATACCTAATTGAACTCATTAAACAGTAACAAAAACACTAGTGGTTGTGAGAAAATTTTCGATAGCTCTTGTAAAGAGAGATCGCCTTTCAGGTGTAAATTTCCTAGAGATAACCGTATAATGTAATGCCGGTGCAAAGCAGGTGGCGTGTCAGAAGAATTATGCAGAAGCTTTTTAGTGTATCTGAGTGAACATGTGGATAAAATTAGAAAATACACTATATTGCCAAAAGTATTGGGACACCCTTCCAAATCATTGGATGATTATTATTATAATACAGTATTTATATAGCGCCAAAAAGTTTGCTCAGCGCTGTACATTATAGATTCAGGTGTTCCAATCCCCTCCATGGACACAGGTGTATACAGTCAAGCCCCTAGACATGCAGACTGCTTCTACAAACATTTGTGAAAGAATGGGTCGCTCTCAGGAGCTCAGTGACTCCAAGCGTGGTCCCGTGATAGGTTGTCACCTGTGCAATAAGTCCCTCCGTGACATTTCCTGGCTACCAAATATTCCACGCTCAACTGTTAGTGGGATTATAACAAAGTGGAAGCAACTGGGAACAACAGTTCAGCCACAAAGTAGTAAAATGACAGAGCGGGGTCAGCGCATGCTGAAGCACACAGTGCGCAGAAGTCACCAACTGTCTGCAGAGTCAATAGCTAAAGACCTCCAAACTTGGTGTGGCCTTCAGCCAACAGTGTGTAGAGAGCTTCATGGATGGGTTTCCATGAGCAGCTGCATTTCCATAGGCGGGGGTCAGCGCATGCAGCACACAGTGCGCAGAAGTGCACTGTCCAAGCCTTCCATCAGCCAACAGTGTGTAGAGAGCTTCAATGGGTTTCCAAAGCAGCTGTCAGTTGCAGTGTCAGTTGTGGTGTAAAGCACGCCGACCACTGGATTTTAGAGCAGTGGAGACATGTTCTCTGGAGTGATGAATGACACTTCTCTGTCTGGCAATCCATTCCTCTTCCAACATGACTGCACACCAGTGCACAAAGCAAGGTCCATAAAGACAAGGATGAGCGTGTTTGGGGTGGAGGAACTTGACTGGCCTGCACAGAGTCCTGACCTCAGCCCAATAGAACACCTTTGGGATGAATTACAGCGGAGGCTGCGAGCCAGGCCTTCTCATCCGACATCAGTGCCTGACCTCACACATGTGCTTCTGGAAGAATGGTCAAACCTTCCCATAGACACCCTCCTAAACCTTGTGGACGGCCTTCCCAGAAGAGTTGAAGCTGTTATAGCTACAAAGGACGGAGCCAACTCAATATTGAACCCTACGGACTAAGACTTGGATGCCATTAAAATTCATGTGCGTGTAAAGGCAGGCCGACCAATACTTTTGGCAGCATAATGTATATGTATGGGATAAGAACAAAGATTCAGAGCCAAAAAATATTTTTTTTCTATTTAAAAAGAGTTGGTTTTTTTAGGTGTATGTGGTGGTGACCCATCCAATGATGTAAAGATCTAAAGTATATAGAGGAATCAGGACCTCTTTCCTTCTGCTGGTGACCCCTCTAGTGATAACTAAAGATCTATATAGAGAAATTGGGACCTCCTACCTCCCATTGGTGATCCCTCTAGTGATATAAGATCTATATAGAGGAATCAGGACCTCCTTCCTCCTGCTGGTGACCCCTCTAGTGATATAAAGATCTAAATAGTGAAATCAGGACCTCCTTCCTCCTGCTGGTGATCCCTCCAGTGATATAAGGATCTGTATAGAGGAATCAGGACCTCCTTCCACCTGTAGGTGATCCTTCATGTGATAACTAAAGATCTACAGTATATAGAGGAATCAGGACCCCCTTCCTCCTGCTGGTGATCTCTCTAGTGATAATTAAAGATCCTTCGGTCTGGTATAGATTTTAAAGGGTAACCCATACCAAAAAATACAAAAAAATGATGTGGAGTCCCCCCAAAATCCATACCAGACCCTTATCCAAGCATGTAGCCCAGCAGGCCGGGAAAGGGATAGGATAAGTATGCATTCCCCCCCCACCCCAAATCATACCAGACCAGGGTTGGACTGAAAACTCATGGGGCCCCCCCCGGGCAATAAGAGATAATGAGGCCCCCTGTGTCTCTGCCTACACTCAAGCCAAACCCAAAGCCACACCCACACAACACCCCACCTACATATTGCAGCTCAGCTGCATAGAAAGGGCATTAAAAATAATTTAGAAAATAATAAAACAACATCGTGGGGTACCCCCTCCATTCATACCAAGCCCTTCGGGTCTGGTATGGATTTTGAGGGGAACCCCCATGCCCAAATTAAAAACAAAATGGTGTGTGGACCCCCCCCGCAAGATACATACCATACCCTTATCCGAGCATGCAGCCCAGCAGGTCAGGAAGGGGGGGGGGGTTGAATGAGTGCCCCCCCCGAACCATACCAGGCCACATGCCCTCAACATGGGAGGGTGCTTTGGGGGGGTCCCGCCCCCGCAGCACCTTGTCCCCATGTTGATGGGGAACAAGGGCCTCTTCCTCACAACCCTTGCCGGTGCTTGTGGGGGTTCTGCGTGTGGGGGCTTATTGGAATCTGGAAGCCCCCTTTAACAAGGGGACCCCCAGATCCCGCCCCCCTCTCCATGTGAATGAGTGTGGGGTACATGGTACCGCTACCCATTCACAACAAAAAAAAATGTAGTGTGGAAAAAGACAGGAGTCAGTCTTTGACAAGTCATTTATTGAAGAAGAAAAATAAAAGAACGTCCCCCGAAGTAGATCCAATGTCAAAGACTGTCTCCTGCCTTTTTTTACACTACACTTTTTTTTGGGTAGCGGTGCCATGTACCCCATACTCATTCACATAGTGGGGGCCGGGATCTGGGGGCCCCCTTGCTAAAGGGAGCTTCCAGATTCAGATAAGCCCCCCATCCGCAGACCCCCAAAACCACAGCCCAGGGATGTGAGGAAGAGGCCCTTGTCCCCATCAACATGGAGAGAAGGTGCTTTGGGGGGGAGCCCCCTCCGCCCCAAAGCACCCCCCCATGTTGAGGGCATGTGGCTTGGTATGGTTTAGGAGGGGGGTGGTGGTGCTCGCTTGCCCCCCCCCCCTTTCCTGACCTGCTGGGCTGCATGCTCAGATAAGGTTCTGGTATGGATCTTGCGGGGACCCCACGCCATTTTTAAAAAACTTTTGGCATGGAGGTTCCCCTCAAAATCCAAGCCAGACCCGAAGGGCTTGGTATGGATGGAGGGGGGATCCCGACCAGTTTTTAAAATAATTTTTAAAATTCTTTCTTTTACATTCAGCTGTCAGTGGGGAACCCCGCTGACAGCTGAAGCATCAACGCACTGTTTTCACTACTAAAATATTGCATGACTTGATAAAATAACTCATGCTGTATTTTAGTAGCGTTTTTTTGTGCATTCAAACTTTTTTTTTTTTGCTATCCAATGCGGATCCTCATGCGGTAAGATATCCCTTAGTGAATTTTTCCCAGTGAGCCTCTCACTGGGCCCCCTACTGACGCCGGGCCCTCGGGCAATGTCCGAATGGTCAGTCTGCCCCTGAACCAGACCACATGCCCTCATCACGGGGGGAGCTCCTCTCTCCTTGTGATCAGACTGATCAGACTGCAACATTGTAATTCCAGATATGTCAAGATAGATCATTTGTGATATGTCCACTTTAAAAGCAGAATTTATTTCAGCAGCTCACTTGTGTAATCCCCGTGGTAAAGCCAGGCAGATGAATGCTTCTGTATTAGCCCAACGTGAACCCACAGAACATACGCCATCTTTATAACTGTGGTGGGAATATTAGAGAAGAGGCAGCTCTGGAATAGAGACGCCCAGTAATGATAGAGCTCATCAATCAATGATCTTCTTCCGCTCTTCTCTAAATTGATAAGAAGGTAACATTTGATTGGTTCTCTGAATTACAGCACTTGACATATGTTTGCTGCTTTTTCCAGTTATTGAACACATTGAGTCATATTCAGGCATCTGATTGCTTGTGATCCAAGCTGAAGATTTATATAGAAGTCAAATGATCCAATTTTCCCTTCTTTACCTGAGTCCTGCTACCGGCTGTAATACAACCCCTCAATCAAAACCCCACAATTTTCGGCAGAGCGTTATAAATAAAGTGACACCCCACCACGTCACTTCCCTAGGATTCATGTGAATAATTCTGGTTTATAATGAGCGTCAATCCTAGTATCAGCTTTATTTGTCTTCTCTTTATGTCGCATCTATCAAGTGGGAGATGTCAAGAGACTGAATTATGCTTTTCTATAAAGTCTGAGCTTTCATTCCACTTTCCATCTCTGTTTGTCTTCTCTGGGCATAGAGATACTGACACTTGTTCAGAAGTTCAGGATGGATGTTTTATCAGTCGTGTATTTGGATCTTGAGCTGCACAAAAATTGGATGCCCCCCCTCCACGGCGGAGAAAGCCTGACACCAACCAACAATACCCCTGCCCCATCCCTCACCCCACCTGAGAGAGCCTTTCACTAACACTCAACCCCCCCCCCCCCCCCGGCAAAAGAGAGAAAGACACCCTCACAGCTCTGGACATCCCGGAAATGACAATCGGGCTCTGCATACACCACCAAGCAGCCCGCAGCCTCTCTCAGATCACACCTGGTCCCCATGGCGCATGCAGTGCTTCCCCCCTTAACAATGCCGCCCTAGGCAAATGCCTTGTTTGCCTTGTGGTAAATACACCCCTGTGTTTTAGAATAGGCTTTGCTTTGTGTCGCCATACTTGAAGTGGTTGTAATATTGCCTTGACATTCAATGTCCAAGTAGGAGAGATGAAGGGGATGATCAGCGCAAAACTGAACAAAGTCCTGGGCTATCCTGGTGTGGGGTGCTGGTGGTGTTGTGGATGAACTTGGGTTGGCCCGTGTGGCACTAAGGGCAATGCTTCTAACAAGTACTGTAGCAGACTCTGTAGGGTGGGTGAGAGAAGGAGAAGAAGCACCTCTAAGTGTAGCATATCACTTTAATAAGGTTGAAAGGTAAAGGCACTCACATGGTTGAGGTTAATATAAGCATTAAAAAACTGTGGTAGGTTGTAACATCGGTCAGATGGGTGTACAGGGTGAGGAGCTGTCATCAGAGCGGAGGATGGTGTAGCCAGCGTGCCGCTGGAGTAGCATGGTGGCTGGAGGGGAACAGCTGAGGAGCCGGGTGGAACGCATGCTGCTATGCGCGCTGGAACGCAGCTCCGGTGTGGCCGTGATGACGTCAGATACCCAGAATGCACTAAATCCTCCATTCTGATGACAGCTCATGGGGGGCTGTGCTGGGAGGGGAAGAGGATTTATACCAGGAGTGGTGATGGGGGAATGACAATTCTATGAAGGATGAGGCTTTAGGAGGAGAAACCTGCACTCTGTACACAGCACCCTCCTGAACCCTGCCCTCTGTACACAGCACCCCTTCTAAACCCTGCCCTCTGTACACAGCACCCTTCTGAACCCTGCCCTCTGTACACAGCACCCCCTAAACCCTGCCCTCTGTACACAGCACCCTTCTGAACCCTGCCCTCTGTACACAGCACCCTCCTGAACCCTGCCCTCTATACACAGCACCCTCCTGATCCTGCACTCTGTACAAACCCTCTGTACACTAGCACTCCTACTGAACCCTCCTGATCCCTGCCCTCTGTACACAGCATTCTCCTGATCCTGCACTCTCTACACAGCACCCTCCCGATCCTGCACTCTGTACAAGAACCACTCTGTACACAGCACCCTCCTGAACCCTGAACTCTGTACACAGCACCCTCCTGAACCCTGCCCTCTGTACACACACCCTTCGGAACCCTACACTCTGTATACACAGCACCCCCTCTTGAACCCTGCACTCTGTACGAAGCACTCTCCTGATCCTGCACTCTGTATAAAGCACTTGAACCCTCCTGAACCCTGCACTCTGTACAAAGCACCCTCCTGAACCCTGAACCCTGCCCTCTGTACACAGCACCC